AAAAACATAATCCGGGACTCCGAGCGTGGAAAAAAGGGTGATCAGTTGACGATTGAGGAAACAAGGCTGGTTCCTGCTCCACTGGAGAACATCTAGCGCTGTGTTTTCGGATTGGTACTTGCACATGCTCTCTCTCAAAGCCAAGTTCCTTGACAATGTCGGATCAACTGCCACGACGCCTTTATAGCCACCTCTACGAATTTGAAACACTGATGGAGTAGAACTGATCCCACACTTTCTTGCCACCTTTTCGGCAAATTCAGCAGATATTTTCCCAATTCCATCGGAGAAACAATATTTGACTCGGCCTCTTCTGATTTCTACATCAGGAATGAGTTCAATTTCATCCTTGCCGACACTAAAAGTCTCCCGGGAAGAGCTGAAAGCCTGGCCCAACCTAGCACCATACTTTGCCACATTTCTGATGTCGCTGAAGTCCCCCATCCAGTTTCTGATGTCTTGTGCGGTGAGCTGACTTCTTGACGCAAACATCCACACCGAATGCTCGTGTAATTGACTTGATGAGAAGGCAAGGAACTCAAACTTCTTGTCACCAATGACTATTCCATTTGTTAGAGTAAAAAGTATCCTTTCATAAACTCTAGTTCTCCTTTCCTCATCTGCAGAAGTGTGACAATTTGTGCGCGGGCACAAATCTTTCGGAAGCAACTTACCCAAGTCCTCATCCACGAAGGAGACACGAAGAAAATTATCAATATCTTGAGGGTAATTTCGTAGAACACGGTTGGAAAGATTTACCTCAGGACCACAGAAATATACTTTAGATGGTGTGACTTGAACCCTGTGCACATACACCATCCCATCATCTAAAGAAATAGCAGGCGACTCTGGAATTCTCTTGTAGGCCATGTACTCTCTGTATTGATCACAAAGCCAACTCACGGGATCATAGCAGCGCGTTTTCAAGCAGAACAGTTTGTCCAGGGCACACTCTATGTGTTCAATTCTTATTGTGCTTGGATCAACGAGCCTATAAAACATAGCATCAAGAGCTTGCCCTGGAACACATCCATGCTGAACCAAGGAATTTATCTTGAACAGGATTTTGTATGGCAAGTTAATGCCCACTGGCGGACCAACAATTGGTACAAGATCTGAATTACGGGAGAAGGCATTACCTCTCTCCAGAGCGAAGCGTCCTTCATTTTCTTGGTAATGAAGAAAACTATCGCGTAAATTTGGAAGCACAGAATCATATGGAAGTTCCAAACATACGGCAGAAGATTGGCCAATGCAGCAAGATGGAGTGAAGTCAACTTCGCGCACCCAGTTTCGGTCAGAAACTTGCTTCAAAATCCGAGGGGCACCAAGTAACTAGCAAGAGAAAGAAGAAACGAAAACAAAATATTAGGCAATTTTCCCAAATGCCACATATAACATAGAAAATTCTGCCATCTTTAAGGACTATATCATTTTGTTTCAACATTTAACAGTCAAATTCTTCGTGCTGAAGCAATGAAGTATGAGATCAGATGTAATGCTATTATGCAGGAGGAACTAGTACATAAGTCAAAATGAAGATCGGCTAAGTTTTGTTCTTGTTCGATGTACGAAAATGGTTGAATTAAGCATTTAAACTAACTAGCTTATGAACTATGATCAATAGCTAAATCATGTAGTGAATCACAGATCACAAGTCACAACTATATGCTTATAAGTTTATAATGAAGAAGCAAAGTGAGAAAATTTTGGCGGACAAACCTGGATTAGAAGAAACTTTCGAAGCTGACCACGCGGACAATGCAGCTCAATCTCGCTAATACTTTCAGCGGAGATCTCAAGCTTGTATTCATCCGAATCATAAAAGAATAACAAGTACATATTCTTAAATTCCGTCCCGAAACTCACTTGAACTTCCGATGTTGTCCACAGCACAGAAAAGCGTTCCTCGGAAACCAGGCATCCGAAGTGCAGCTTTAGAAGCTCAATGGAGTGTTCAGGCTTCCATTTTCTCGCTTTCAGATAAGAGTCCTCATCATACCAAAGGAGCCGCGCATCGGCTAATGGGATAATTTTTTCAGCAGATTCTGCATGGGTGAACTCAACTATGGCAGACGCTCTTGATTTTCTGTCTTTCGGGGGAAAAACCTTCACATCAGAAACAGAGCCTTGTCCAGTGTATTCCTCCAGAAACGCTGCCACTGCTTCCGGAGACTCGACGGAGGAAAATCCATACAACTGAATTGTCATAAGACTCATGTTGAATTGATAAGCGTTGATAGAAACTGTGCTGTTTCAAACCACAAACTGAAGTTAGTAACCATAAACTTATTGCAATATCGCTGCATAAAATACTTGAAATCCAACAAAATGATCAGTAATGCGTCAAATGAGAAGAGTAACAATATTTAGACACACAAAAGTACGCACTTACTGATACACTCTCACGATCGATAGAGCACCCAATGTCAGTTTTCTGTGTCTAAATAACCTTGAATTTGAAATGAAGGCACTGATATTATTACCAACAACTGATGCTCTGTGAGAAGCAAAGCTCATGAAGTCGGTATATATATACTGATAGGAAAGTGAAAAGCACAGAAGTGAATTTGAATAACTTGTCATGGCAGTTGAAACTGGGAAAAGAAAAGAAAAGAAAAGAGAGGAAGAAAAACTTGCCATGGCAGTTATCTTTTTTTCTCCTTTCCTTTTTGGTCAAGGCGTCAACGATCCCCTCTTTCGCAGCAATAGCAGGTATCAAACTGTATCGTGGAGGGTGAATGAAACTCGACGTTTTGAGTGTAAGGGTTAATCACAATTATGTAGTTTTTTACTCACAATTTATTTAGTTTTTTACTCGCAATTTATTTTACATCGACCATTACTTGTACTTTTATTTAGTACGTACATGGTTAATGTATGCGTACATGTAAAAAGAATATACAAAAAATGGGTATATCAAAAACCTACCTACTCGTCCACCCAAAAAAAAAAAAAAAAAAAAAAAACCTACCTACTCGTATTTTAAATATTTTTAAAATTTTGTAGTTAGAAAAATGATTTAGACAGATATTTCTTTTTCAAGTCATTAAGTTGAACAAATTAAAAGAAAATAAAAAATTAGAATGAAAAAAAATGTGCAAAAAATAAAAAAGTGTGTCATCGTTAAATAAATTTGAGAACCTTCTGTGAAGTTTACCTTGAGGACTTTTATTTATGTTGGCCAATCATGAGGACTTGGCCCTTTGGAGAAGCTTTGGCTAAGAATCTTCTAAAATCTCACATGAGGGGTACTTTGCTCCCTTGCTAAACAAGGTTTGGACTAGAGAGAATATAACTCGCTGACTTGGCCCTTTGGAGAAGCTTTGGCTAAGAATCTTCTAGAATCTCACATGAGGGGTATTTTGCTCCCTTGCTAAACAAGGTTTGGACTAGAGAGAAACATACTCAAGTGAGTCTGTTAATTCAAATTTCGTCGCAAACTAAATTACATAGGCTTGCAGATCAAAAAATTAATTGAATATGGACAAATTTGTTATTTCAATTTTTGTCACGGCCTAAATTACATTGGCCGCAGATCAAAAACAGTATTTTTGTCCTTTTGTCGCCTCAGTCTAAATTAGAAAGATCGATTACGGACAGAAGTGTTACTGCTCGGCTTGGAATAGCCGTAGACAATAAAAAGGATTGATAATTGAATTTGCCAAAGGTAGTCTATCAACTTACAATATCAATCAAGAAAAATAAACAAAGACTTCCGGCGAAGCCTTTGAAACTTCCGGTGGAGCTTCGAGTGGGTACTCCCCAGTGGAACACCGGACAAACCACCACACAGGCTTTTTCCTTGTTCTATTGCGATGATCAAACTCAAGAGAACTCGTCGGTGGAATTTGTGCAGAAAGTCGTCGGAACAAACTCGCCGGTGCAATTGATGTAGAAGGTTTAGGGTTAGTGATAAAACGGCTAGCGCTGAGTTTTTGGGATGAGAAACGTTAAGCGATTCTCTCAAAACTGTAACTCTTCATAAATTATATGTCGCTTTATGTTTTTTTGCACTATGTTTTATAATGTTGGCACGAAAATTATGTTAGAGTTTGAGGTGTTAAGGAGTTTATGAAGAGTCCACTTCTGAGACAGAGTCCTCTTAACAGTTCTCGAAATGAGATTGATCTTTTTGGAATAATAATTGTCATTAAAAGCTCTGTACTTATCTCCTTATTCTTAGTAATTATATAATGTTGGCCAATTAGCAGGTTTGCAACTTCTCCTTCATCTTTAATGAGTCCTCAACTATAGGGGCGGCCCAACTCTTGAATCGAATGCAATTCAATTATAAGAACAAGACTTGTTTAGAAGTACGTTTAAAATTATTAAAAGTGTTTTTTTTATTATTAGAAGTGCTTTTTATTCAATTGATTGGTTACTAATAGAAGAATGGATAAGGGGCTGTGCTGTGAGAATAAGCGGCTGTGAAATAAATCTGCTGTGAGAATAAGCGGTTGTGCTGTGAGAATAAGCGGTTGTGAAATAAATCAGCAGAGTGTTTGGTAAACTTTTTTGTAAAAGTGCTTTTGAAAAAAAAAACAGTCTAATAGTGGGTCTTTTCATTAAAGAAGCATTGTAGCTCTGTGTGCTTTGAAAAAAAGCCAGTTTTCCAAAGCTACAAATAGCAGCTTCAGCTTTTTCCTTTGATTTCAGCTTATTCTCACAGCAGCTTCTAAAATAAGCCTTTTTTTTTCAGTTTACCAAACACCTAAAACCCTCATAGCTTTTTTTCATAGGTGCTTTTTTTTTAAGCACCTCACTCCCAAACTAGGTGTATTCTAATTTCTAAATCCTGCAGCACAAAGATTGTTTTTCAAGTAAAATGGCAAATGCATTGCATGGTAGCTTGCTTATCCCTCTGGGACTGCAGAGGAATGCCTCGGGTCGACGAGGGAAACGCATCTGAAAACATCTGCAGGAGTTGGGCGCTTGAAATCTTCCGAGAGCTGAATGAATTCGACTCACCACAAAGGAAGCTCATAACGTTTACAAGATTGTGAATAACAAAATGTAGATGAAAACTTAGAAATGTTGATCACAACGTATTTTACAATCAATCAGAAAGTAACTAAAATAAACCGAGGCAAATGACAAGGGGACTAGAACCCTTGACAGCCGTACTTACATGGACTTTTAACAGCGTAAACAAAACATAACAAAACATAATCATTTGGGAAAACGCATGCTTCTGAATTTGTCAAGGAGGACGCCGCTTTGATCAGCCATAAGCAAAGAATTCCTCGTACGTGTTTTGTCCCTCTTGATCTGGATGAGCTTGTCGGAAACACACCACGGAAAGCTGAGGAAGTGATCCCTCTCCATTCCCTTGTTGCAGCGACCCCAGTAAACAGGATGATACGTAACATGGTACCAAGCTGATGCTTTTGCTGCACATACATCATCGGTATCAGTGCTGGAATCTGACTGCGTAGCATTGAACCAGGTCCTAGCTTCCTTTTTCAGTGACCTAACGGCGAAATTAATCGACTCCAAGTCGTTTCTCCTATCGAAAGTTTTCGACACTGAAGTGATGTTCCCACTTAGTATATCTGCTTCAGTTTTGATGCCGTAGTAATCCATCAAATTTCCCAGCTTGTAGTCATACTCCCTTTTGTAGTTGATAGCATCATCGATGTAATCTTCAAATCCATCTACCTCCATGTCAGGATCATAGCACTTGCAAGCCACTCCCAAGGTGAACGATTTGATTGAACTTGAATCTGAATGTGATCCAAGCTCAACATTTTTCACCTGTCGGAAAAGCTTCCCGATCACACGTTTGGACTTATACGTAGGTTTGTCAACCTTTTCCATGAAATCCGGATATTGTTTGGCACGTAGAGAACACGGCACTTCCACTACCACGCCGGTTTTTGGGGCGTCGACAGCATCGGAACAGAGCTTTGCGAGTTTCATACATTTACCACTCATAGCCTTCTGTGGCTCTCTGTCTGCAAAGACAGTATGTGCATTCGAAATGATCCCCAACATGTCGTTCACTATGTAGTCTGTAAACGACTCTGCAACCTCCTGTAACAAACGCAACAGAACACCAAATGTTGAATAAATAAAGGCAGAAACACACTTGTACAATACGTTTTGAAGTAAGGATAGGTGGCTACATTGTACGTATTATATCGAGTAATACCTCCATTGTAACTTCATGTTCTAATTCAATAGGTCGTTGTGGGGTGTAATTCATCGGTCGAAATCTCTGAGGTGGAATTATATCAGAGTCCCAACTAACAAAGTAGAAATCTCCATCTAAATCTCCTCCTGAGCATTCATCAGGATGTGGTCTAATTCAACGAGAACAAAAAAAATAGTGAGTACGTACACAATTGGAGGCAACAAATTATTGCAAAACAGAGAAACATTAATATGCAGATGCAATCCAGAATAAATTTGTAATTTCATCAACTACAAGATTTGAGAAAGTTAACATACCTCTTTCCTTTTTGCGGGAAAACTACGCAATCCACCATATGGTGCAATGCCGGCACGTTCACCGCTGTAAGAACACGAACATCTCCGGGATGTAAACATGGGTTTCTAGCAACTACAACATTCCCGTCCACAATAAAATTGTCTTCGCTCGAAGTATTGTTGCTGTGAGTGCCAGTGGAGATCACGCGGTGAGAGCATTGCACAAATACCTGACCATATTCCAATGTTCCCGTTTCATCCAGACATCCCATCATTGATCTTCCACTCGAAACAAATATCCTTGTTCTCGTCCGCAGTTCCGTGAGCTTGGATGCACAGTAGGCTTGTAGCATCAATGACAGAAATGGCTCTGCATCTGGCTTGTAACCACACAAAAGCATGTCCTTCAAAACGTCTGTGGCCTCCCCTTGAAATATTGTTCCGAGTGCTGCTTTTGCTCTTGAGGGATCAGTTAAAACGCCTTCCAGTTGATTCAAAGCCTGTCTTTGCTTCCTCTGAAAGACATGATCCGGGACTCCAAGGGTGGACAAAAGGGTGATGAGTTGACGATTGAGGAAACAAGGCTGGTACGTGCTCCATTTGAGAACGTCGAGTGCTGTGTTGTTGGATTGGTACTTGCACATGCTCTCCCTCAGTGCCAATTTCTTTGACAATTTTGGATCAACTGCCACGACACCTTTGTAGCCACCTATACGAATTTGAAATGCTGATGGAGTAGAACTTCTTCCACACTTTCTTGCCACCCTTTCAGCAAAGTCAGCAGATATCTTCCCAATTCCATCAGAGAAACAATATTTGACCCCATTCCTTTTGATTTCTACATCAGGAATGAATTCGATTTCATCCCTATCGACATTAAAAGTCTCCCTGGAAGAGCTGAAAGCCTGGCCCAACCTAGCACCATACTTCGCCACATTTCTGATGTTGCTAAAGTCCCCCATCCAGTTTCTGATGTCTTGTGCGGTGAGCTCACTTCTTGACGCAAACATCCACACCGAATGCTCGCGCAACTGACTTGATGAAAAGGCAAGAAACTCAAACTTCTTGTCACCAATGACAATGCCATTTCTTAGAGTAGAAAGTATCCTTTCATAAACTCTAGTCCTCCTTTCCTCTTCTGCTGAAGTGTTACATTTTGTGTGCAGACATAAATCTTTGGATCGTATCTTACTCAAGTCCTCATCCACAAAGGAAACACGAAGAAAATTATCAAGATCCTCAGGATATTTTCGTAGAACACGATTGGAAAGATTTACCTCCGGACCACAAAAATAGACTTTAGATGGTGTGACTCGAACCCTGTGCACATATACCATCCCATCATCTAAAGAGATAGCAGGCGACTCTGGAATTCGCTTGCACGCCAGGTATTCTCTGTACTGCTGAAAAAGCCAACTGACGGGATCATAGCAGCATGCTTTCAACCGAAACAGTTTATCCAGTGCACACTCTATGTATTCAATTCCTATTGTGCTAGGATCAACTAGCTTATAAAAATTAACATCAAGAGCTTGCCCCGGAACACATCCATGCTGAACCAAGGAATTTATCTTGAACAGGATTCTGTATGGCAAGGTAATGCCCACTGGTGGACCAACAATCGGAACATGATCTGAATTACATGAGAAAGTGGCACCTCTTTCCAGCGCGAAGCGTCCTTCAATTTCTTGGTAATGTAGAAAACTATCATGTAGATTTGGAAGCACAGAACCATACGGAAGTTCCAAACATACGGCAGAAGACTGGCCAATGCAGCACGATGGAGTGAAGTCAACTTCCCTCACCCAGTTTCTACCAGAAGCTTGCTTCAAAATCCGAGGGGCACCAAGTAACTAGCAAGAGAAAGAAAAAAGGGAGAGAAAAAAATCAGCCATTTTCCCCAAGTGCCACATTACATAGTAAATTATGGTATTTATAAGGAAGATGGCAGGTTGTTTCATGATATTCGACAGTTACTAGTAATCTTTCACACATGGTTTAATTTAACTTCTATATTAATCAACTTTTGAAACTTTGATCACTAGCTAAATTTAGAAGTTACAATCTTACATTTCATAGCAAAATCTAAAGCAACGATTCACAAATTTCAGCTGCATCATTGTACTAAAGAAATAGTAAAAACTGAGAAAATGTGACCGACAAACCTGGATTAGAAGATACTTCCTAAGCTGATCGCGCGTGCTATGTAGCTCCATCTGGCTAATACTTTCTGAGGAGACCTCGAGCTTGTATACAGCAGAATCATAAGAGAACGAGAAGTAGATATTCTTAAATTCTGTCCCGAACTTCACTTGAACATCCGGTGCTGTCCAAAGAACAGAAAACTGCTTCTCGGAAACCAGGCATCCAAAGTGCAGCTCTACAAGTTCCATGTTGTGTTCAAAGTTTTCAAAGTTATCAACCTTCCATTTCCTAGCCTTCAGATAAGAGCCCCCATACCACAGGCGACGGCCATCAGCTAATGGGATTATTATTTCAGCAGATTCTGCTTGTGTGAACTCAACTATGGCAGATGCTCTTGATTTTCCATCTTTCGGGGGACGAACCTTCACTTCAGAGACTGTTCCTTCTCCGGTGTATACCTCCAGAAACGCCTTCACTGCTTCTGGTGACTCGACGGAGGAAAATCCATACAACTGAATCGTAGTATTAACCATGTTGATATTGTTGATGGCAACTGCTGTTTCACAAGTACAAATTGAACTCAGTAACTATGAACTCATCACACTTTCTCAATGCATAAAATTACATGAAATAGAATAAAATGATCAGTAATGCAGCAAATGAGAAAAGAGTAACGATATTTAGACGCACAAAATGATGCACTTGCCGACACAATCTATTAAAATGCAACGGATTTTGTATCTAAAGAGAATTATCGATGAGAAAAAGAGTGGTACCTTGAATTTGAAATATGTATGAGCACTGAGATTACTACCAACAAAATTATCGCTGCTGTTTTGTGAGGAGCAAAGCTAATGAAGCTCACATATATATATAGGTCCATCATATGCACTGTAACTAACTTGTTATTGCAGTTGTAGCAGAATAAAAGAAGAAACCTTGTGCTTGCAGGTGTAGCAGAATAAAAGAAGAAACCTTGCCACTCCAGTTATCCTAGGTACACACCTTCCTATCTGTCTTCCCGCCAGGCAAGAGATTTTTTAGTGTGTCTGGAACACGGAGCGAAACACCACATGTCATTATATACAATTAAAGGAAAGTTTTTTTTTTATGCGTCTCTCTAATTCTATAATGACATGTGGTATTCTGTCCCATGTTTCAGACATACTAAAAAATCTCTTCTATTGTGAAGATTACGCCGCGTGGTGATGAGCCTCTATCGAATCTTATTGTGAAAAGTAGCAAGATCATGATGGTTTGGTTTGTTTGTTTAATCATAATTTATTTAAAGAAATGCTATAATTACACATTACGAACCTTTTTATTTTTTAGTAAAGCGATATAATTAGTGGGTTAGATAGTTAGTTGTTAGAGCAGAGGGAATCAATAGGGATCGAACCCGCACCAGAAAGCATAGGCGTAATTGTTTTCTAACACTTTTTTTTTATACACAACTACATTACCATTACATGTAACATTATTTGTATTTTAATAAGTTTGAAATTCATAGTCTTGTACTTAAAAGTTCAAAAATCAAATTGGTGTTATAGGGCGATTATATCTTAATTGAGCTCCTAATGACGAATTGAACAATATGGCCAAGAACATTCTGGAAGTTTTGGACCAATCCAAAGGTAAGCCCTGGGGAGAAGTTTTGACCAAGAACCTTCTAGAATCTCACATGTGGGATGGGCAAATACCTCCCATGAAGGGTCATTTTTGGTCCTTGGCGAGCAAGGTTGAGAGAGCATATATGCTTTTGATTGAGAGAGCATATATCCTTGACGAGCAAGGGTTTTTTTTTTTTTTTTTTTTTTTGGGTACTTTTTGGAAAGTCGGATCTTGCTCCTAAAGGAGTCAATAACCTACTTTGGAACTTCACCAATTCTATTCCTTGTACTTCAAAAAAGCAAGAAATGTGGATGTTGGTTGGGTTTGTTGGCTTTGAGGAATGTATATTCGTGTTCAAATTTCTCCCTTTTTATATTACGAGAAATATTTGTGTAGGGCTCCGTTTGCTACTGGACTAAGTGACATTACAATTCACTTAAAAATCTGTCATATGATAAATTTTAAATATAATATTTTTCTTTCTTTTATATTTAAATGTCGCACCTCTCCAAGAGTTTTGATGACATGAGTTTGCTTGGACTTGTGACTTGAATCCATTTTTTAATTAAATAAAGCTCAAAATTATTTTAATTACCATGATCAATAGGTCCAATAAATAATCCAATATAATAAAAAAAATTAAGGAAAACTAATGAAATAAGCTTGAAAATTTTGAGTTTTAACGATAAGAACAAAATAAAAGGTAAAGTGAATAGTACAATAATTGACTTTTAGTGTAAAAATGTGGTTTTTCGTTATAGTGAACAGTACCAGAAGCTTTTCGTTAAAATTCCCAAAAAATTAATCATATTTATCATCTATATAACAATACTAGAACTTATCATGTGTGTGTGACATCTTAAGGTCTAACTAAAGCCGACGGTGAAATTAAGGGACACCTAGTAGCATATCATGGTTACCGGATTAGTAAAAGTATACGCGAACTAATCATGATACTCTTTCGAACCTTAATTGTAGTTAAGATGCAATTCAGTTCTTTTATATCCCAATCAAATACGCTTCAGTCGAAACAGAACAGGTACAATTTATTCCCTTAAAAATACAAAAGATAAATTATACAAAATTCCCCTCCAAATGGAAGGATATTCATGAAGAACTGATAAGCCTAATATGTTGTTCTACCAAAACAAAAAACACTGGCTGCCTGAATTTGCTCGATTTCATCTTGCACCCACATCCAGAAGACTAAAACAGAAACAACTCAAATCACTTCACCTCACCTCTCAAATAGATTTATATGGCAAAACGTAGCCCTTGAAAGCAAGGTTAACTATATCAACATCTCGGCAATCTGAACAGCATTAAGTGCAGCTCCCTTGCGTATTTGATCACCGCATACAAATATATCCAACCTGCTTAGAGAAATGCCATGAGTGGCTTGCAAAAATATATACAATTAGAAAGCAAAAGATTAGCACTGTTGCCTTACCCATAGTTCCCTTCTTGGGATACATCACGACGGATTCTGCCTACTGCAACATCATCTTTGTTTGACACCTCCAATGGTGTAGGGAAGTTATTCGCTGTTCGGTCATCAATAACCACCAGCCCAGGAGCTTTCTTCAGAATTTCCCTTGCAGTGTCCTGGACAGTGAACAGATTTATAACTCTAAGGATAGCGTGAAAAAATAGGCATCTTAACACCTTCAAGAATGTCTCATTATTTCACTATTTTGAGAGAGGACTGTAGAAGTCAAGCAAAACCAAATGCTACACCGTAGTACTAACAATGTTAGGCCTAACTGAAAAATATTTAAGAAATGTGCTCGAAAGAAGTTAAAGAGAATGAAAGCATGGTGAGTCGGTGACTGAACTTAAGTTCACTTACCAAACCATTACAAATAGGATACAAGGATAGCCTAAAATCACAAGAGAGACAAAAGAATCATCACAATGTTTAACCGAAGATTTGCAAGGTGAACATCATCGATGCAAGTATTGAGCAAGATAGAGTTCACCACTGAATTATAGCCTACATAAAATACAGCATTGTGGCATTACCTCATCAAGTTGGTTCTCAAATTGAAGATTTATACTCTCAGCATGCGCCCTCATGACAGGAACTCGTATACATGTCGCAGTTACCTTGACATCATTGTCACTCTGAGAAAATGGACATATACCTATGTTATTAACATCTGTGAACTTACAAGCTGCTTTCCAATTAAATTATTCTGACTGATAAAAGTAGTAAAGAAACTAACCCATATTTTTCGTGTCTCCTTGACTAGTTTCATTTCCTCTTCATTATATCCATTTGAAAGAACTGCCGAGTTGTGCGAAAACAAATTAAATGCGTACTGCAAAAGGCAAAGACAAATGTACGGTTCAATGATGCTTCATGGAAAACAAATTTAATTTCCACTACAAACTTGAACAATTCACAACAAATAGACAGACCTGCCGCGAAAATATCTTAGTGGTTGGTGGCTTCCCTTCCAGTACCTAATACAGAAATCAAATTATATTACTACAATCGAATACTGAAAAAAGACAACCACAAACAACGAGAGAGATGAAGTAAAACGAAACCTCCTGAGTTTGCAGCTCAAGCTCTCTCATGGCAGCAGCACCAGCTCCACTAGCAGCCTGATACGTACTAACAACCATTCGCTTTACCTGAAAACGGATTCATAAATCATAACCCAATGTAACTAAAATAAATTTCACAAAACCCCATTTTAAGAATTCACATTTAAAATCCAGATACAGCACCAAAGCAACCAACTTTTGTAGCTCCAAAAAACAAACTCAAGAAAATTGGATTTCAAAACAAACCCGAAAACATGCACAAAAATCTCATAACAACAACAAGAAAGCAAACAACTTTATAGCTCCACAACCAAATGCAAGAAAAACCCATTTCACAAACCTTAGAGTGGCGATGGAGAGGGGTGACAGCCATTAAACAAATAATGGTGGAGCAATTAGGGTTAGCAATGAGCGCCCCCTTTCCGTTTCCAACCTTGATACCCTCCATAGCCTCCGGATTGACTTCAGGGACCACAAGCGGCACGTCGTTCTGCATCCGGAAAGCAGAGCTATTATCAACGACAATGGTGCCGCGCTCTACGGCAACGGGACCGAACTCTTTGCTGATTGACCCGCCGGCGCTGAAGAGGGCGATTTCGACGCCGTCAAAGCTGTCATGGGTGAGCTCCTCAACGACGTAGTTTTCGCCGAGGAACTTCAAGTTCTGACCCGCGGAGCGCTTGGAGGCAAGCATCTTGATTGAGCGGAAAGGGAAGTCACGGTCTTGGAGGACAGAGAGGAACTCCTGACCGACGGCACCGGTAACGCCGACCACCGCAACTGATGGGCCGGTCTCTTGGAGAGACATTCGGACTGTGAATGGGCCGGGTCGCGACTTGGACACGGAGACCCGGGACCGGCCGGAGAGGGGAGTCTTGAGGAGGAGGCCGTTGTGATGGTGGGTGAAAGTGGACATTTTGGAGAATCTGGTTGGAGCCGAGGAGAAACGAGTGGCGGCGGCGGCGGAATGGGGTTTTGAGTTTTACAAACCTTTGGTTATATACTGTGGTCTTTGTGACTGTTGAACTTGAAATAGCACGTGGGATTCTCCGTATAATCATTATTACCTCACCGTTTAATGTAAATTTATGCATTAACATTATAAAATATTGTGCTAAAAGGATGAGGTAGTAGAGAGTTCAACATTTCTCTTACTAAATTTGTTCAACAATCACCTAAAAGTACAACTTTTTATTGCAACGATTAGATAAATTTATAGGAAAATTAATGAAAAATGTTTGAAAACTTTGGGTTTTAATGATAAGAATAATATAAAGGGTACAATGAATACTAAGGATTGACTTTTTAGTGTAAAAATGTGGCTTTTCGTTAAAGTGAATAGTATCAGAGCTTTTCATTAAAGTTCTATAAATTTATTCATACTGCCGTTAATTATTTTTACCTCTCCATACATTTCTCTTTATTTTAGAATAGTGTGTGTTTATCATTTCTCTTATATTACCTATCTTGTCATATTTAGTCATGTGACAAGAGAGATGAAAATAGAAATGTGGGTCATGAATATATAAGCAATGTCGTCCAACTTAAAAGTAGAAGATAAATTACTTAGGAACGAAGCATTAGAAGGAACAAATTAGTTTCACGTCTAGCGGATTAACAGTACAAAGTCTGCCTAGAAGATCAGACTGCGAGAGCATCCTCAATCTTGATGCAGCTGTAGAATCAATCCTCCACCGGTGCCAGTACAACATCTTGGAGAAGTACAAGCTTTGCTCGTCCGCCATACTCTTCTGGCAAGGTTTCTTCGCCGATTTCCTTTCTGAAGTTTTTTGTTCCTTCCTCATTGCTCACAATCACAATCTGCAGTCACAATCGCAAACAATGTAACCCAATTCGTAATATACCAACTTCATCCAGATTGTTGCACCAGCTTGATTCCATAGAGGTACCAAAAAAGAGTTGGACAAGGCATACCTTCTCTTGCGTTGCCTTCTCGAGGAAGCGAGAAATCATCCTCCAGACACTTACGAAAAACCATGGCATGCTTAAGATGAACAACTTCGCTAATCGCTCGGGGTAGTAAGACTGCACATTTAAACGAAAACAAAGTGATTAAGCAACAGTTCATGTATAGCGAGAAATGCTCTCGCTAGACCAGGGGGCTCTTCTAGCACATGTTTTGCTTAATAAAATAGCACCACAATCTTCATGGAGGGGTTCTATCACATTTGCACCAGAAGTTTGAAGTTGTCAAAAATGTTAAAATCACCTGCAGAAATTGAAATCCGGTGATAAACCCTCGCGCATCAACATTTTTGTATGAAAGTTGTTGCAAATCAAGAATGACGATCATCTTTTCGTTTCCAATTTCTTTTCCCCTGAAAGAGCTAGACAAGCAAAACGAAAAACAAAATGTTGAGACATCCTGATTGATCTACATAGAAAAGTTGAATGTATTCAAATTTAAGAGAGATAAAAACTCATTCATTACATGAAGTTAAACCATCTTCCATCCAACAAGGGGTTTGAGGTTTACAGCAACTACAGAAAACACACATCTAACGTCTAATTCTCCTATTAACAACTTCATAGAATTGGCATTGCGACTTTGCAAGAACATGTACATTGTTAAACCTGAAATTTCTCGACCGAAAAAAGCATGGGCACTATTCTATTCATGTGACCAGTGTTTTCCTAAGCCCTATCATTTACACATCCGATCATGCCTTCCATAAACCTCATGCGAAGGCAGCTGCTTATGCTTTCGGTGTTTTGAATATAGGCATTTCAAATTGAGAGGTATCTTGTAATTGCTTTGAATGGACATTTCAAGAACTCATCAAAAGGGTAACCTTCTGATGATTTGAATTGACATTTCAATACATTGCGTTTTAAGCAGCTCAAATCCACAACCAGCCGATAAATTCAGCAATGTATGTATTACATCAAATGTACTCCAGAGTTTTCGACCATGCATTTGTTTTGAATACGACATTTCAGTAGTAGCTAAGTTGAGAGGTACCTTGCAATTGTTTTGTCAAGCAGATGAACCACGAATTCTGCAACAAGAGACGAACTAAAGTGAATCCATAATTCACCAATTACTTTACGCTAACCAACTAGCCTAACCCACATTTGCACTCGCCAAAACCGCTTTATATTTGAACTTCTCTCCAATTGCATTTTAAAGAGTGATATAATTACCAAGATTTGATGAAACAATAGAAAATTAGACAGAGATAATTACTCTTGAATTGGAGCTGGTCCTTGGAAGGACAATGCTTGCTTGCCTTCACAACCATCACAGGGTACCCGTCCTTGGACAAACCCTGCAAGAAGATCTTTCTGTCTGCCAATTGATCCTTCACTTCGCCATCTGAAACGAATCCATTCGGAACAAACGAAGCCCTCCATTTGTGCCACTGAACAAACATCTTTGCTGCTTTGTCCGGGTCCATTGATCTCGCAATCAAGAACCTCATGAGAGTTGGGTCTCCAAACTTCTGCCAACAAAACAACCATGGATTAATATGAAGTACAAAAGTGAATGATTAATATTAGACACTGTATGAGAAAGCATTGCAATTTGCTCTTACCTCAGTGGAAGATCCAAGCTTTTGCACTGATTTCTTCATCTCAGCCAGAGCAAAATCTTGGGTATTCTCCATTTTTTGGTTTCTGGGTCCGAGAATTGCTTTGTTTCTGGGATTTTACAAGGAAGAAGAAGTGATTTGGAGAGAGAGTGTCGCGTTGACGAAAGGGCGGGAGAAGTAAAGAACGGAGAAATGGGACAATGCTGGTTTGTCGCTAGTGACTCTGAGTTCGTACAAGCATCTCCACTCTTTTGATTCTCCTGGAAATTTGGAAGAACAGTATAAAAATTTTAAATTGATTTGATAATTTAACAGCCAAAAGGTTGGGAAGAGGATTCAGCTCATGATGGGATCTTTCTGATCAACTCATCGGGACCATTCAAACTTAATTTAACGATTATATTATTATAACTTTTAGAGAATCTCTTGTTTAGAGCTGTTGGATTAAATTTAAATGGTCCAGATGAGCTGGTCAGGAGGATCCCATCCTGAGCTTAGGGAGAATCCTCTTCCAAGTTGGACTGTCATTGCCATTGACGACCCGCTGTATTTTGTTTTTTTAATATATTTATCTTTTTTTGTGTTACAATTTATAGGAGGAAAGTAATTTTTATAAACTCGTCTTAGCTTCTCACAAACATTTTTTATTTGTGGTTAGTGGGCTAAATAAATTGAATGGAATTAACGGCTAAGATTAAAAATAGTTGTTTAAAAAGCAGAAAAGTGTATCTAAAATACGAAATAGACAATTCAAACGTAAAATGGAACACATTACTCTATCCAACATGACTAATTTTATGTATGTGTTTCTCCTATTTACCTCACCGGACTCAACCCATCTAGTTTATAAAAATTACTCAAATATTTTAAATTATTTGTTCATGTAATTCTTCCAATTCTCGTTATTGTTTTCAATCACAAGTCTCATCATGTTTTATTTTAAAAAAAAAAAAATATATATATATATATATATATATATATATTATTAAAGGTGGGGTAGGGTTCGAAATTGGAAACGAAGGGCAACGATGACATAGCATATGATTTTTTAACGTGAAGATCACAGAGGTCGATATCATTATGAAGCATGACACATGCTTATGGTGCCATGCCGATATTGGACACCCCTCTCAAACACATGGTCTCTCACCACCCACGCCTGAAAAAAATATTAATTAAATAGCTATCATCATGCATAGCCGTGGGTTGAAAATAAAATTAATAAAAACAAGATGACGTTGACAGTGACTTAAGTGAATGAGGTTCCTCTTTGTGAGAATACATCTTCAAATCATGTCTGTTTATCGTATATCGTGCGATCAGTTTTCGTCGAATACTATTTATATTTAATTTAAAATAAAAGTATCTAAAATAATTTAGAGGATCCTCCTCGGACTTAAGTTAATTCTTCACCAAACTTCCCTTTATATCATTGACAGTGGTGGAGCTAGCATGAGATCATTGGTTCTTGACCTTAACAACTTTAAAAACTCTTATGTAGATTTGTATGTGTATTAAATTTGACCCTATAAACAGCTAGCATAAACTAAATTACAACATTCTCCTCTTACTCTCTCTTGTGTGCAACTCTATTGTGCGCATCAAATGTTCAATGAAATGTCTTAGTTGACAAGTCTTGAGTCTTTAATATTACTCCACATTTTCCTATACCGACTCTTGACAAGCCTTTAAAGACCACAGTAGCTGTTGGCATATATGCTGTCATAAGCCAGAAATCGACAAGTTCCTAGCAGGTGCTTGACGAAATGGTCTAGTGAAGTTTTTTTAAGTCAAAATCTTGAACCATTATTTGAAAATTCTAACTCTGCCACTAATCATTGATCATGCAAAAACCACATGGGTTGGGTGGTCTCTCCTCTCAAAAATTCTACTGGTGTATGACGTTTTACCGAAAGAATGTATGGATACACACTCAAAGATTCAACAAACAAGAATCCCAATGGATACTATACTATACACGGGTGCATACTTCAACGAAGGATAAAACGACGGAGTGACAGAAGAATCGTAACCTTTGAGGCGGGATGAGTTATACATCCGGCAAGCGGCCGGTGAAGAATGCAAGCTAAGCTAAAATGTTTGAACCAAACTAAATTTACAAGATTGGGCAACTGATTTTAAGGCACGAGTCATATTCCAACATAACTAGATCCAAACAACTACACAATCATGTTTGGCAAGATGCCAATCATCAAACTGGAAGAAACCAATTCAACTGTTGGAGTCTGACACAACTTATTTTCCTCCGGACCGACACTGATACTCCCCCACATTTGTCCTCAATTTTTCAAGAGTCTCGGATGCAAGAGGCCGCTCTGCACCTGAGTCCGGTGCAGGCACGTCAATTAGATCTAAACGTAGAAATAAGACACATACTTCAACTGCAATCTCTACTGAACATTTTGATAATGTGAAACAATCTGTACGCGTCATGGAAATCAAGAGACATCGGCTAACCACAAAATATACGCCTGTTGCAAATAAAAATGAGAATTAGATTACGACATCTACAAGCTTGTGGTTCTCGGATAATAGAATCAACGAACAAAGAACTACTAGTAGCTAAAACATAGACATGCGATCGAGCACACACTATTTTGCAAATGTTGCTAATATAGAGCGTAATAAAAATAAAATAATACCAGAAGGTAGTTACCTAATCAGTGAAAGGACTCATGAAATCACTTGAAGAATATTGCTGCAATATTGGGATGCCTAGTTTTTCGTTATCCACATAATCCACAATTGGCTCCTGCTTGACTAGGGCACCACTGTTCTCCACCTGGATTCTTCCACGGTTCAAGTTGCTCATTTGCGATTCAAAATCATCCACTGCAAATCGACTTGGAATGCAAGTCTCTTTACCAACAAATCCAAGATTCCTAAGGGGTCCCTGATCAAGCATTTCCCCTGATTTATCAACATAAAAACCCTGGCTGTTTGACGTATTATGCAAAACCCCCGGCAACTCTCTGGAATCACTAAATGTCGCAGCTGAATTCTGGTAACTGGTGCTATTGTTGTCAGTATTAAGTATGCAAGAAGTGGGAGAAATAGAACCTGGGGCAGAGTACCCACCAAGCGTGCTGGTAATTTTAAGATTTCCAGTTGGTATATGTCCAATATTCAAGGAATTATTAGATTGATCCGAGAGCAGACTGTAATCAATAACAGTAGACTTGTTAAAGCTACTACTCTGATTGAAAGAAGCAGGACTATTTCCAGCCTGGAAACCAGTTGATGATTGAGAGGGGACCACAAGGCAAGATGGCTGCACATTAAACGAACGGCAAGGTTCGATTAGTGCAGACTGCTGCTGCGTTCGATCATGTTGCCTTTGCTCCTGCTGCACAACGCCCATCAAGAAGTTACTATTCTGAACACTCGACCCTCCATGATAGTTGCTGGGTGCCACTGTACTACAATTATTAGACCTCCATTGTCCAAATCCTGGAGATACATCCTCAGCAGAAATGACGGGTTGTGGAAACTGTTTGGAAACATTTGATTGGCTTTTTATAAAAGGCTGCACAAATGGCACACCATGTTCAACAGGGGGATGCTTGGCTCCTTGTAGGGATGCATGTAGAAGAGCAGGCTGATCCATTGCTGGCACGAGGTTCCCTGCAGGTTGACCTAAAAGCTCAGCTTGCAGGGCGGCTAGTGTTTGTGGAGGAATTTGTCCAGAGGTAGCCAAAGTTTGGAAGTCAAATCTACTAAGCGACCCCAACTTCCCATTTGAGTCTGCGGGACCACAAAAAGCATTTGCAATCCCACTTTGTTGTTGAGCTACTCCATTTAATCTCTTCAAATATAACCTGAATTTCTGCACAACCACTCAATTCTTTCATGTAAATAATTCTCTTAGGAAAATAAATGAAGAGCTCAAGTCAATTGTATGCCTATAAAAAGATCAAGTCGGAATGTAAATGAAAGATAGAGAAAACACAATTCTATATTTCATTTTGAAAAGAAGATGTGCCCATCCCGTCAGTATTAGACCCATGTGCATATGGAAAATATTACTGTTCTCATAATTCAAGTTAGGTTTTTAAAGTAAACTGATGATTTTGAATCAAGCATAATGCATAATTGTAGTTACAGTACTAATAATCACATATTATTTTATGCGTTGAATTCTTAAATGCTTCTGTTTTATGTGTCATTCTTGTCAGTGACAAAGACAACAATATGAAATCAAGCAAAGCTATCTGATCAATAGGAGGGGAAGCACCATGCCTGCAGATGGCTAGCAACATTTTCTCGAGTTAAACCGGGTACATTCATCATTTCAAGAATTCTCTTTGGTACAGCCTCTGAAATATAACCAAAAGTTATGATCAGTAACAGAAAGCCAGATTGAGCAGTCACATTATGATGTCAACGAACATAAACCGGGTACACCTTCCTATAATATGTATATATGTAATATAATCAAAATAAAAAGTAAAAATTTAAAGATCATACTATCAAGCCCAAGCTGGTTCACAGCAGTGACAAATTGCTGATGGAGTTCTACTGACCATACTACACGAGGTTTCTTCGATGTAGACATATCATCGTTTTCTGTATCACCATCATCATCTTCTTTAGCATTGATCCTCTTCTTCTGACCTTTCAATGAAACTTCTGATCCTTCGTTAACAGAAGATGTGTATTCAATATCATTGTTTCCTCGTTTATGTGGATCATTATCTTCCAAGCTCCCAGAATGTTCAAGTTCTTTACTTCCATTCCATTTTTTCCTAACAACATGCTGCCAAATATTCTTGAGTTCTGCCTCACGTACAGGCTTAATTAAAAAATCACAGGCCCCATGTCTAATTCCTCTCATAACAACGCTTGTTCTCCCATCAGCAGACATCACTGAACAATACACCATCATGTTAATACACATAAGGCATAATTCTACTACCATTGAAGTAATTAAAATTAATATACTCACTGATAACAGGAAGGTCCATTTCCAGACCAATGTGTTCCAGGAGTTTAAATCCATCCATATCAGGCATATGGACATCACTCAGTACCACATCAAAACAATCTTTCCTCTCTCGTAGAAGATTCAAAGCAACAGTAGCCTCGGAACAGGTGGTAACTGCCAGCAAAAATAAACAAAAGGTTAAAGAAAATAACAAAAGTCACTTTACTCTGCTCCTACATTACATAATTCAGCTATCCCAACATTGTTTGCTTGTTAAATACACAATGAACAGCAATTCCACAAGCTGGCCTAAATAAATAGGTTTACCGTGATTTCCCAATATAATAAATCAAGCACAAAAGCTTTCTAATTATATTAACGAACCAACAGAACCATGAGAACAATTAAAACAGGTCAAGTTGACTCGTCGGAAAGGTAATAATTCAAGTAACGAAGAAGGGTATGCTTAATGGCTACTTAAACACCTACTGCTTACCTCGTTTCAATTCTCAAATTCCTCATTTAGCATTTGAGACAGAGACTTACAGACTAATTAATCCAGCTGCTTAGAATCTCCATATAAAAATTACAGGGTTAATATATAAATATATGTTCAATTTCATATAGATTAGCTCTGCAACTGATCCATGTCCAATACAGACCTGAAACAGTCCTCAATATTTGAGATAATAACTTGTTTTTTCTACACAGCAAGCATCAGTAGCACAGTCCACGACCAATTCACACTAATAACAAGCTCAAATCAACTAAACGCAAATAAAGCATAAGCATAACCAATCACTGAGGTCCTAGCTAGAAGATCAACGGCATACCCTGGTAGAGACACCGGAGGAGCATCAGCTCAAGAATCCTCAAGCACGTTGTGTCGTCGTCGACCACTAGAACCCTCAAGCCTGCTGGAAACCGATCAGGAACTGCCATTTCAACGGCAGACGGTGACAAAACACCACCACCACCTTTACACGAACCGTAACTACTCGCAGTAGTGCTCACGCTGGACTGCGCCACTCTCTGCAAAGCAGCCATGGCCACCAAAAACCACCACCACCACAACGACGCAAAATACACACACCTACCGACTATCAAACCCTAATTTCCCATTTCAAAGGACTAGAATTTCCATTTGCAGTGATTCCGGAGGGCGAAAGTGGAGCCAAATGGAGGGAGATCCGCGAGGGGAAACCTTAGAATTGGGGATTAGGGTTTCGAAAAACGATCAGACAGAACGAATCAGACAAATTGAGAGAGAAAAATGGTCAATTGCCGTCTGAATCGTGAAGATTTGATTACTAGCGATGAGCAGAGGGAGAGTAGGGTTTATATAAATTTTGGGGGTGAGGAATGAGGATAACGCGTGGCCGAGGAAAAAAAAAACGTTTTAATTTTTTAATTTTTTAATTATTTAATTATTGAATGATTGATTTTGTTTTTAATACAAGAGAAATAATTGAAGTCGGGGCAGTTAACGAGTGAGTCAGAGATAGAGAGAGGTTGTCGGGCCTATGGGGTCCAGCCCGCAGTGCTACCTTCGCGTGCGTCTTTGCGGCCGTGAAAAACCGCCGGCTGTGTCATTTCCAGTTACACGTCCGACGGTAAATTTTATATTTAATTACGACCGTTTGATGGGATCTATGGTGCTTAGATGGTAAATTGGCTATTTTTCAAAAGTTTAGGTCCTTATTTTTAGAAAAATTTGCATCTTAAGCTAGAATATCAAATAACGAAAAAAACAAAATTAATGCACTATTACACTAAGATCATCTCCAACCATTAGGCTAAAAGTTAAATTTTTTAGCCCGAAAAATTTAGCTTTTAGCCCATTAATAGTTTTTCTACTCCAACACTTCTGGCTTAAAATTTTAGCTCAAGATTATTAAAAAATGAACTTAGGCTATTTTGTTTCTTAAATTAATTTTTTTTAAATAAATATGTAAACTATCGTAAATTAATTTTATAAACATTTTAATATACAAATATTTAAATTCCGATAAATATTGAAAAATCACTAAATTTTCCATAAGGCATGCCTTCAACTTTCACAAATCTTTCAACCCTGGGCTAACTTTCAATTCACCAACCGTTCAACACCAAATTTTCAATTCACCAAATACATAGGTATTTATAGAGTTTTTGGGTGAATTTTGAGTTAAATAAATTTTTTTTAATTATTTTAGCCGTTGGATTTAAATTTGGACCGTTAGATTTTTTTTTATCATTATATTTGATTATATTCCATCTCAGGCGTTGGATTCAATGTATTTTAAAATAACATATTCTAAAAAAATGAAATATGAATCTAGACCGTTGGATCAACCAATGGTCCTTAAAGCCCAGCCCTTGGATGTGAATTATTGTTGTTGGGAATAATTAGGTGGCTGACACACGGCTTGACAACGGGGCCCACCCTGTCGGGAAACCCTTGCAAGCCCACCGCATGGGGCGCGTTGGCGTGTGGGCAGGCTGAGATTGGGCCAAGCGCCAGTGAGTCCACTCGCATGGGGGGTATGTGGCCTAGCTTTAGCATTTGGCTTTTAGCCCAATGTTTTAGCTTGGGTTGGGTGGTGTTTGGGGGGGGGGGGCAATAAATGGGGAAATTTGGCTTTTAACCCATTGTTGGAGATGGTCTAAGAAGGACTTCATTTTCTAGCTGCATACAAAACGACTGTGTACGTCGGTTTAATCACATATACAAAAAGTAAAAAGAAACACCACAGACTTCAATTGTCAAACCATACTGTAAATATCAAAAAGTATATCTTCCACCATGAGTCTAGCTTAAATCTACTAAAGTAGAATATAGTTATGTAAAATTAAATACAAATAATCCACAATTAACATTTACATAAATTTGTCCCCAAAAAGAAACCATGGAAGCAATTACCATCTATGGTCAATACTTAATTTGTTTACAAGAACTGCTAAATAATAAATCAGCTAGAATAATGCTAAAAAAAAAGGACAAGCTAATGACAAATTTATGACAGTCCACCATTCTGAAGGTAAGAAGATCCACCGAAGCAGTTTTTGGTTTTTTTTTTTTTTTTCCAAATTGTTTTAAGCATTTTGATTTAACTATTGTAATCCAAGTATCCAACGATAAGCATTGATTGTGGGGCAAGAAATGTAGCTAAAAAATGAAAACAAATATTAAAATAAGTGAAAACAAATATTATGAAATCGTGGCAAAGTGAGTTTGGACCGACAAGTGTTAGTGGCCCAATTGAATTCGACGTTTGGGATTGAGGACTTGTGAGTTGGACGACAGGCAAAGTTAAAAGTCACGCCTCTGATTTGCTTCGGAGTCGTACTCATCGAAACGACATGCACAGCAGCCTTTTTTATGGTCTTCGGCTTGTGACCCACATTGATCTGGGCCTCTTGCTATTTACTCCCTAGAATTTCAATGTGAGTTGGCCCACATTAATAGCATAAATTATCCAAACTTAAACGTGAATATCATAAACTATAGATGCGTTTATAAAAACGACACGTAGTTTAATTCCTATTACGGAGTACAAAAAAGCACTAGCATCAACACATTGCTAAATACAGAAACTACCAAAAGTAAAATGTAGCACATTAGGCAGAGTACATTATCAATATGGGCGTCGGTGAAATACCTTTCTGAATAAAATAACGTGGAACAAAACTTCGAGATAGGAAAAAGAGAGCGTTCTGCATGCTTAAACTTCAAAAGAGCGGTATCCAAATATAATCTTTTGGTCTGTTAACAATCAATCCGACATGGCATTATTTATTGTACAATATCATCAATAAAACAAATTATAGAGAAAAAATATCGAGCAAGAAAAATTTCGATAAGACGGTCTAACTAGAACATTTATTGCACAAATGACCAATGTGGTGTCAAATGAGACCGAACTACTTGAAATCTTTTATTAGACTTATCAAATAGAAGTAGTTACAGATGATGTGGTCCGACAACTGTACTTTAATTTCCTCTTATTAAATTGGTATACGATAATTAATTGAACCCACACATGGGACCCACACTCGTCTGCTTGTGCGCACACATGGAAATCCACGTTATTATGATGAAGCATTTCCAATTGGGAAGATGAACTCCGGCGCTCCCCTGGTCTCCTCCCCGCCCAAATTACAATTTTCTCCAAACGCAACCACCAACTCTCCTCCACTTCCGAAGCCGCATATAGCAGATATTTCAGTAGCTCTGCCTCTAAATCCTTGAATCTGAGTGCTCTGCATCGGGAGGAGAAGCACTTACTGTGCATGCAATGGTTGATGACCAGGACGTGGAAGTGCTTATCTTCAAGGTCTGACTAGCTACAGGACCGTCTCTGAGATTTCAAAGGTCCTGTCTAAAATTTATAAAATAGTCCTTTGTAAGATAGTTTTTATTTTTAAAAAGTAGGACAATATTTTGGTATTATAAAATAATAACATAAATCAAAACAACCTTTATGACTCACTATAAGTTTACAAATGTTATTAAATAAGTAAAAAGAGTTACAAATATAATCTTCACTAAATAATAATAAAAAAAACAGTTCAATCTTTAGCAACCAAATAAAGAAAAAAAAAGCTTAAAAAACTCTAAGTTTAAAGTTTCACTTGAATATATAGCATTATTATACAATAAAATTGAAAAGAAAATCTCTAAGGTGTTGTTATTGGCTCTCCTATTATCTCATTGTGCACTCCAAATTTTTTTATCTCATTGTGCATTCCAAATTTTTTTATATAGAAAGAAAAAAAAATTACACTTTTAAAAAATACACTATAAGATTTTAAAGTGCTAATAAAAGTATTTTTAATATATAACATTATTACATATAAATATAAGATACCAAAAAAATTTTGGAAGCTCTGTGCGATTGCACTTTTCGCTCCCCCTCAACGTTGCCTCTGGCTAGCTAGCTACTTGTTTGTTGATTTTCTCCTTTTTCTACTTCTGTTTTTAACGTAGGAGTGCTTATCTCCAAGCGTTTTTCCAAGTGCTTCTTTAAAAACGGAGATTCAAATACAACTTAGAAGCACTTTTTAACTTTTTTCACCAAACATTCACATGAACACTTTAAGTTACTTAAAAGCATTTTTAGCTGTTTTGAAAAGCACTTTCAAACATGACTTATAATATTGTTATTGATTCATGGGATTCTCTTCGAGCTTGAGTTGTGCGACTTCACCGGACCCATCAAAGGGCATTCTTCCAGCAAGGGCAGTTATCAACCGATAAATCGAACCGGACCAAATTGAAAAGTCGGTTTTGGAAGGTCTTGCTTGAACCAATGCCGGTTGAAAAACCGAATCGGACCAATTATATGAACTCAACCGATATTGACACATAACTCTAATTGGTCTCGTAATCTTCATCTACATTTTCGACCTCGTCGTCAACTTTTTATTATTATTAAAACAATAATGTTGTTTTCACTACAACATTGTTATCATGAAAAAAACATTATTGAGAATATTGAACAAGAAAAAACTAAAGATACAGTGAATTAGAGGGGAAATAAATTCATACCCTATCAAAAAGTACAAAACTATTAGAAACAAAAAATTAATGAAGACTACTCCTATGAGAAACGAAATTTGGAAGACTCGTAAGATTATGAGCAAAAGCAACAACTGCACAAGGCGAAAAAAAAGCCTACCAATAAACTCTAACATGATCAACACTATAATTTGCCAAGCTATCTGTCAACTGATTTACTTAAGATAAATGTGAGAAAACCAAACAAAGTCGGTACTGCAAGTTGTTTTTTTTTCTTTTTTTTTTTTGTAAGAATCGTATTGTGTCCACCTTTGTATGCTTGTATGTTTAATGTTAAAGCAAAAACTATCACTTAGTAATACAGTCTTGGAAGTGAGATGTCTTAGGTTGAATCTCGTGGATGGTGAATTTGATATCTAATTAGATTGCCTATTGTGTGGCTTAACCGAATTCTCTCTTCCTTTAGTGTAAAAATATCGATGTATTCAACATAAAAAAATTAAAGCAAAAACTAGTAAGTCTCTGAACCAACGGTTAAAATGAAAGCGCCTGGATGATTTCAGAGAGATCAGGAGACATCTGAATCCCAACCCATTCCCTTCAACGGACATTTGCGATCTGACCGTAGGATACGCAAGATATTTGGCACCGCCAAATCATACCGGGACCCCCAATACTCAAAACGGGACGAAAATATCTTCTACAGCAAACCTATGACGTGGAAGCTATAGCGTGGGAAGTTAGGGTAGATATTTCGGAGAAAATATCCGCTGGCCACGTGTTGCCCACTCCCCGTTCTTGTCTACCCTCCAATCTCATTCAAACTACAGCACTGCCACCCTCCATGTGATTCGGCAATCGTACTTATTTTGTTTGGTACCCGGCTCCATGTGATGATGGCATTTTGGAAATATCAAGAAACTGTTACGGGCACTTCCGTCAGAAAAATTTCAGAATTGAAGCTATAAATAAAAATAAAACGAGATATTGATTAGATGCACACCAAATATACCAAACAAACGCAGAGACGCTGAGAGCTTGAAGGAATGGCTATGGCGAACAAATACGAAGAAGAGGAGGAGGAGGAGGTGCAGAGCTTTGGAAAGCGGCTGAAATGGAGCAGATACGAGGAGCCTCTGGAGGGGGAGGAGGAAGAAGAGGAGGACGACGACGACGAGAGCCAGCTCGCTCTGAAGCCGTGGACGACGGCGTTCCCAATGAGGCCGGCGTCGTTTGTGGTGTCGGATGCTCTGGAGCCCGACAGTCCTATCATTTACGTCAACAAAGTCTTTGAGACCTTCACCGGCTATTGTGCCCACGAGGTCCTCGGCCGAAACTGGTAGCGATTTCTGATTTCAGTTTCTTTTTTCCCCTTTTGCTAATTTCTGCAAGAGTTGATTTTTAGTGTTTGTTTAAGAGAATTTGGGGAAATAAGTGAATTTTTTTATATATTTTATATGTAATTACATAATGATGAACAAAAATGATGAAAATTGAAATGTTGTTTCAAAGTCAAAACTTTTTGTTTCATGATGATGCGATTTAATTTTTATTTTTTTTGTTTGCCGAAGAAATTGCGTTGAATTTCTTGTGTATTTTGGGGTTAATTGAGTTCGTTTCAAACGCCGAATTCGATAACCATTTTATGGTATCAGTAATTCTGCAGTTTTCTGCAAAATCCCCTTTCTAAAATTTGAACTTTGAAGAGAGCTGTAATGTGTTAATTTTGACCTAATTCTTTGAGTTAGGTGTCTCCTTAGCAGTACCCCTGTTGTTATGATAGTTAACCGGAGAACGTGAAACGTATATCGAAGATATTGGGAGACATTGTTCGAAGTTTCTGGAGCTGATTAACGTTGTCTGTTGTTATGCTTTGATATTGTGACACAGAACCGAGTGCAATAGCGTTCTACGATTCATATAGCTGACCTCACTTAGTGGGAAAAGGCTTTGTTGTTGTTGTTGTTATGTTTTCATATGCATATCTGTCACATGATAATCTGTTGTACTGGTAACTGTTTCAAAATTTGTATTAACGAATCAAACGTCCTCTTTTCGTTTCAGTCGATTCCTGCAATATAGGGACCCTCATGCTCAAAGGCGGCATCCTCTTGTAGATCCAGTTGTGGTTTCGGAGATTCGAAGGTGTCTCGAGGAAGGAGTTGAGTTTCACGGAGAGCTTCTTAATTTCAGTAAGGATGGAACTCCCTTGGTGAATAGACTAAGACTGAAACCTATACACGATGATAACGGAACCGTCACTCACATCATAGGCATTCAAGTATTTTCTGAAGCAAAAATAGATCTCAACAGTGTATCATATCCAGTTTACAAACAGACATGCAATCAACAGTCTGATCAATCTGGTAAATATCCTCTCATCAGTGGACAAACACCTTTCACCCAGTATCACGATATATGCGGGATTCTTCAGCTCTCTGATGAAGTTTTGGCTCACAACATTTTGTCACGCTTGACTCCGAGGGATGTGGCATCCATTGGGTCTGTGTGCAGAAGAATCCGCCAACTGACAAAAAATGAGCATGTGAGGAAGATGGTATGCCAAAATGCATGGGGAAGAGAAGTCACCGGTACATTGGAACTCATGACTAATAAGTTAGGGTGGGGGCGTCTGGCTAGGGAACTGACAACCCTTGAGGCCGTTTCTTGGAGGAAATTTACGGTTGGAGGTGCCGTGGAGCCTTCAAGATGCAATTTTGGTGCTTGTGCTGTAGGAAACCGACTTGTGCTATTTGGAGGTGAAGGAGTTGATATGCAGCCAATGAACGACACATTTGTTCTCAATCTTGATGCTGCCAATCCTGAGTGGTGTCGAGTAAGAGTGAAATCGTCGCCACCAGGGCGTTGGGGCCACACCCTTTCATGGTTGAATGGTTCTTGGTTGGTTGTATTTGGAGGCTGTGGGCGGGAAGGATTGCTCAATGATGTGTTCGTTCTTGACTTGGATGCCAAGCAGCCAACGTGGAAAGAAGTTTTTGGTGGAACTCCCCCTCCTCCTAGATCCTGGCACAGCTCTTGCACATTAGAAGGTTCGAAATTGGTTGTGTCGGGTGGATGCACGGATGCTGGGGTCCTTCTTAGTGACACGTACTTACTGGATCTGGCAACAGACAACCCAAGATGGAGAGAGATTCCAACTTCATGGGCTCCTCCTTCTAGGTTGGGGCATTCCCTCTCTGTTTATGGTCGGTCAAAGATTCTCATGTTTGGTGGACTGGCCAACAGTGGGCACTTGCGGTTACGATCAGGGGAGACTTACACCATCGATTTGGAAGATGAAAACCCCCAGTGGAGGCAACTGGAGTGTAATGCGTTCACCAGCATGGGCAGCCAGAGTGCAGTGGTTCCCCCTCCCAGACTTGACCATGTTGCAGTCAGCATGCCATGCGGAAGGATTATAATATTTGGTGGTTCAATCGCGGGGCTGCATTCTCCTTCTCAGCTTTTCCTCTTGGATCCTTCGGAAGAGAAACCATCATGGAGGATTCTCAACGTTCCGGGGCAACCACCTAAATTTGCTTGGGGCCATAGCACTTGCGTGGTCGGAGGAACGAGGGTCCTGGTATTGGGTGGGCACACAGGTGAAGAGTGGATACTTAATGACTTGTATGAGTTGCGCTTAGCAAGCAAGCAGGATTCAGACCACTGATAAAATTATTTCGAGTTGGGCCAGCCACACAATGCAGAGCTAGCAGAATTACATGATTTTTTTCCGTTCAAGTAGTGAGTTTCTTGCTCGGTAACTATTTGCTTCATTTCGTATTAAGGTTGGGTATTTTGGAGTATGTATGTATTTTTCGTGTTTAGATTTGTACCGCAATGTATAAAGATAACGTCTTTAAAGATGTTGGGGTGCACTCGCGGAAACTTGATGGTCAAGTAATAAGTCGAACTACGGCAGCCTTGACGTTGGACGGCACCCCGTAGGTACCAACTTTTAGGAGATTACCATTGTGCGTTCATGGAGGCTCATAGAGGTAGTAGACCTCCTTTTGAATCTACAAGTGTGTGCTGTCGATGGGGTCGTGCATTAGTTGCATCCAAACAACAAAAAAAATAGTGGCATTCGATCTCGGACACGAGATTCAGATCAGGCATCCCAGTTCCGACTAACCATGCCGAGGAAATTTTAGATGTGGACGGATGTCTAGCTCTAACGAATCGGGGACACCCTGTCGAGGAACTTAAGTTATGGAATTTGACTAATTTTATCGTCCGCTTTGATATGGGGATGCCATTGCCAGGATACCCTACAACTCCTCGTCTCGGTCCGCACGGGTGAGCTGCTCTTGGTTCATCATCCTTCAGACTCATCTACCTCGTCTCTTCATTTATACGACAGGGAGAGTGGAAGTTTTCGGACAAGTGAAATCATTTTACCAAAAGGGACAGTCTGCAATCTGCTAAATTGCTTGGATTAAGATCGAAATCCTAAAATTTTGTCCTCTCATTTCATCGAAACAAGAGACATAATTGTTGACTTTGCAAACAAGTCTATTGCAAGTATATAATAGTACAGGGAGTTGAATTTAAGTTCAACAAAGAAGCAGCCTGGGGTAAAAGAATCATGTGCAACTTCAAATCTTAAGCTCTTGTAGTACCTGTGAGTTTTTCTTATTTCAAGTAGAAAAAAGAATATGCAGGCCCAAATCCGGTAGTTTGTGATGTCTGCGTTGTCGCGAGTGGTGCGATGCGCATCTGGATCTAGTATGAGCCTCATGCAATATAATGTGGCTCCATCATTTCCATGCGACAGAATCGATCTCATCTCTAGCTGACTTGTAGAGTTCAAGGCGTTTAGCAATGTTTGTTCGCCTTTCCATGAGTGCCGGATCCTCATCCAACATTGCGCCAAGTCTCTCCTTCTGAACATTCCCCAAGCAGAGGAAAATGTGGTTATATCCTCAGTTCTCCGAAACTACTTTATCACCCCCGAAACACAAAAAAGAACTGGGTTTGAAAAGTGGGAAGCTCACCTCTTGCCTTCCAATTTTGGTGTAGAAAAGGTTGAGCAGATTTCTCTTGGCCTCTCGAACTTGACAGTGAACAACAGCCTTTGGAATCGAAAGCCTCAGCGTCTCACAAACCATATTGATGTAAGAGCTGACATTTGATGCTGGTACAAGTATATATAACATCTCAGCAACATTATAACTTAATGAAACTGTGAACAGTGGGTCACGCCTTACACAATAAGACACGGTGAATGGGGTTTTGAATTTTGCATACCAATCCTCCTGAGATAATTATCTCCGAAAGTGTCCATATTCTGTACTGTTTCTTTTGAGTGTTTATCCGCCTTCGATCCTGCTTGATTTGGAGTTCTTTCCGGTTCAGAATTAAGCTTTCTGAAAAATTCCACCGTTAGATAGCTAGATTCCATTTCCACCAGTCGTGTAACAGTTTTCCTGCTTTCGTCACGAAACCTTTCCAACGCTTCTGTGGAAGCGGCTGCTATATCAGATTGAAGTGTAGGGAATCGTTTTAATTCCTGCAAATTCCATAAAGTAGCATTTTTTAAACTTCAATCTGCCCACATGTTGATTGTTGCCATAAAGTGCTAAAACTCATGAATATTTACTTACCTCTGTTTCAGCTATTGACTTCCGTACAAGTTCTTTCAAAACAAAGTGCACCTGTGAGAAATTGGAGTGAAAAGAATACTCAGATAAACAGAGGAGACGTTGATATCTGCTATATAGAGTAAAAATTTGGACCAAAAGAAGACTTATACAAGGCAAGCATAGAAATGCACCATTCCCAATTGAAGGACAGAAAATTTAGACAACCCGGGTCCAGAAACAAGAAAAATTATCGAACTAATTCTTTATGCATATCCATAATATTTAACATAGTTTTTCTGTGATAAACTATATATTCCATGTGTTGTAACTTTGAGTTTAGAATCATATATAGAACATGAAAGAAATAAGAGCATTACAGCATCCACAGAGGCTTCAGCTGGTCCTTTGAAATAGACGATAGATCCGTCAATGAGTCTTCGGTATCCTTGTTCTGGAGCAATCAAATGGGGCTGGTAACCATCAGCCTCACTGACAACTTTTTGAACATTCTTTACAGAGAGATGACGATCAAATGGAAGCTTTTTCAAAGCAGCAGGTAATTGATGGTCAAAAACCTTATATATCCGATCTCCACCAGGTCGCCTGAAATAGCAACTTAATATTAAATTATGCATATATTAGGAAATGATTGATATGCTTATTTGCAGATATCAAAATTACACTACGATAGAAATGCTCTAAATCAAATTCAGAACTCATCATGACTTCAGGATATTCAAACCAAGAGCAAGTACAAGTGTAGTGAATCTCTCTCAAGGGTTTGTTTATATGGGTCCACAGCCTGTAAATAAATTGCCAGCCACCGCAGAGGGTGCAATTACCAAACACGTCTAATGAAACCCAAATCTTTTGGGTGTTTTAGGTTTAACATTTGCAGTCCTAGCCTGAAGTCAATTTAAAGTATTTCATGAAGATTCTGAACAGAAAACAAGTAAAGTGCTCAACTTTTAAGGTAACCTCTACTCTTGTGAAGTACTGGACAGTTAGGTATTTAGAACGTAATATACAGTTTAAACTCGATGAAATGTTCCTTCATAGAACTATAGTAATTCTTTTTCGATATGTCTAGGTGTTTGGTTCAAAAGCTCAATCAATGAATCAAGGGCACATGCTTTCAAAAGAGAAACCCTGGTAAGCTGATCAATTAAATCATACATAATTTCAACATGAAAAATCAGAGAATATTGAAATTTAAACTTAAATAGCCAATACATGTCACAGAAGGGCCATGAAATTTACCCTCCATCCAGGTGTTCCTTAAATACACGGTCAAATGCCCGACATAATTCTAAAATAGTATACAGCTGGGCCTGTACATATAATAACATAAGTCAGTCAAACCTGTCATAAACAGAAAACTTAACCACAAAAAGTCAGCATTGTTACCCCCGAATCTACACCAATTGGCCTGCCAATACGATCCAGCTCTGCATTAAGCTCATCAATTGTCTTGTTTATCAAGGCAATGATACTAGGTATGCGTTGCCTAATGACAACCTCCAGATGCTGATAAGAAGATGAAATGGAACAGTTATTTCATTAGTTTACTATGTGAACATACCAGCCCAGATGAAGAAAAATATTTAATATTTTAATAGTTAATACCTTAGACAAAAGTTTGGCAAGATACTCTGAACCCATTTTGTGCGCCAAATGCCCATATTCAGGGCTAGTTTCAAAGTATTCTTGCTCCTTACGACGAGCAGCAATCATATCAACGTTCTTGTTGATATCAGCTTGTGAACGATTCACAATTCCTACCCATGGGTGTTGCAGTCTATATGACCTTCCTTCTATAACCTTGAACATTCATACAGACTACAGATTAGTTTGATGTTATGGGCCATGGCCACCACCGGAAGTAAGGAATCTTGATTACACACTTTAAAAATTGCACTTAATGATTCATGAAAACCAAAAGGTAACAACCTTGAAGTCATGAAAGTTAAAATATTTCTTTTCTATAATCAAGTAACTTATATTTTCTGATCAAATTATGCAATGAGTAAGATTGGATCCTTACATCCAGAGCATTGGTTCCCTTGTCCATCAGATCGAGTTTTGTTAGCACTCCAAATGTTCTTTCACCTAAAAATGTCAAACATAATGCAATGAGTAGACCAGTCGTCCTTTTGATAAACAATGAATTAAGGCGACAAAAGTATTTTCGCCTGTCCATAGTTCATATTACCAGACGGGTCGACTTCTCTTGCAAGTTTGATGGCATCTGAAGTGGCAATATCTTGATTAGCAGGAGAGATAGCCAATATAATGCAGTTAGGCTACAAATCAGAGAAGTCCATCAGATAGACAGCAGTATCAATAAAAGACAAATAATAAATTCATCCAGCAAACAATGTTCTGAAGTATCCTCACCTTCTCAACATAAGAACGGACCATATTCTCAATATCTTCTACAATGGATTCTGGTTGTCCCTCTACAAAATACCCAGAAGTTTGTCAGTAAGCTCTTACCAAACTTTTGGTGTTGGGGGGGGGGGGGGGGGGGAGGAGAGAGATAGTTATAGGAGGAATTGAGATAGAGAGATTACCTACAGCCACCTTTGTCAATCCAGGAAGATCAATAAGGGTTAAGTTTACAACTGCCACAAAAATACACTTAGTACCATGCAATTCAAACCAACCAGCACTGTTAACAATATCGGTCAACAAACGAATTATGGAGTTACAGAGTATATATTGAATCAGGACAAGGGGTTGAAGAAACAAAAAAGGAGAATACTGCATAACTATAAGCAATGTATTGAAATTCCAGCTTTCAACTCTACAACATTCTCATCTACACAAGGAATAGAAGTTTCAATTCATATAACAGAGTAAACTTTCCAGATTTCCAACTAGAACCTTCATAGGAAAGCCTAGCTTGTGGTTGCATTACTATCTAATATCTATACATACAGATGATAGCAAAAATCTAAATTTCATTTGCATCTAATTTCCATTAGTAATATATATATAATATGTAACCCAACTAGTTGTATATTCCTTTGAGATGAAAATTGATTAGCATGCAAATAATGATTTAGAAGGAAATTAAACATATGGCGTTCAAATCCATGATATTCACCAGAAATTAAATACATACCATTTGGAGAATATATGCTGAGATGAATTGGAATGTTTGAGATTTGTTTGGACTTCCCAGTTATACGATCAGTCTCATCTGAGATTTCCTTACGTACAGAAGCTGCATAAGCAAACAGTAAAACTCACTGTACGGCATAAGAACTAAGAAGAAA